TATAGACAAATATATATTAGAATTTTTATTTTTACGATTTTCAATAATATTTTAAAAAATATTTAAATATAAAAATTAAATATTATAAATAGTATTTAAGAAATATTTATTATGAATCACTTCAAATGTATTTTAGATAGGTTAGTTGTATTTAGTACAATATTTTAAAATAAAATTTATTTAATTTAAATGATTCAGGGATTATTTATAAAGAGTATATAAAGAGTTTATAAAGAGTATATATCATTATATATCTTTTCTTCTTTTTGACATTTTTTTAAAATAATTTTTTCATAGGACTTCACGATGTGAGTTAAGAAGATTACAATCTTCATTGTCAGTATCAAACTCTAAAATTGAAATACCTAGTAGAATAAAACGTGATCCTACTGATATTTTACATGTAAGTATACTAAAATTTTTCTAGCATAGAAAAGATTTGTATTATATTTATTCAATTTCACTATTTTTTATTTTTTTAAAGGCTCTTGAGAACACTATACCTAAAGATTCTAGTATGCATATAATGAAAAATTATATATATCATGATGATCCTTATTTACTTCCAATGAAAAAATTGGATTATCGTATTTATGCATTATCATATGAATCAGGTAAAAAAACTGCGAACTGGATTCATAAAGAACATAGTGATTTATTTCCAAAACATCTTTCAAATCCAGAAATTGAGGTAAATTTTATTTGTTATAGTAATAATTTTATTTATCATAATATGTTATTATATTTTTATATATATTTCATTATACATGTATATACATAATGATAAAAAATATATTTTTCATTTTATATTTTTTAAATATAAATAATTTTTAATATGCATTTTAGGCATTTAAACCATTTCCAAAGTATACTGATAAAAATCAAGTATCAGAAGAAATATTACTACATGCTATATCTCAATGTATGATATCTGATGCTTTACATATCTATAAGTTATTAGATACTAATGTTTCTAATGGAACAAAACAAGCACTTTTAGAATTATTGTGTTTTTATAACAACAAAAGATGTGTAATTAACAATTTGTTTTTTGAACATTGGTTTTCTTCATCCAAAGAAAACTATATTTGGCAGTAAGTGTTAAAAAAAAAAATTAATTTTATATTTGATATTATTTTCAATAGTTTCACGTTTCAGATATAAATTAGAAATTAATGAATTATATAATTTCTTAATAACTCAAGATGATTTAACAGCAGCAGCTGCTCATAATATTATGATATGTGGTTTAACAAAATATTCAAGAGTAAATCAATTTTAATTTTTATTCTTTAATAAATTCTTCTCTAATAAATTCTTGTATTTTTGTTAAAAATTTAATATATTTTTAATTTATATTTTTAGTTAGATGAAGCTTGGCTATTATATCAAAAATGCAAAGAAAAAGATATTCCATTAAATCTTACTACTTGGAATTATGTAATAATATTATTTGAAAAAATTTTTAATGATAAAAAAAAAATAAAAATAGATTATTTGTATGACATTCTTACATCAATGAATCAGAAAAAAATTAAACCAAATATTCAAACATTAAATTCTATTCTTAAAATAATTACTGCATTAAATATAGAAAATTTCAGAGATATTATAAAATATTTACTTCTAGAATTCAAAAATATGAACATAAAATTTTCATTAGCGACATATTATTATATTATACGAGGATTTATAAATTACGGTAACTATATATTATTTATAATTTATTTGTTTTAATTCTTTATTTATAAAATTATATTTTCTTACAGATGACAGTTCATATAATAATTTTATAGAAATTCTACGTAAAATAAAAAATAAAAGATTTACCATTCAAGATCCAATGGATAATAAATTTTTTAAATATACCATGTATTTAGCTTCTAAGTATAATGATAAAGAAGCTGGTAATATGATCCATGAACTTCTTCTTACAGGAGATAATTATAAATTTATTTCTACATCAATAATAGTATGTTTTATTTAAGAATTTTATAACACATTCAATATTTTATTTTTATATATATTTTTTTTCATTTAGGAAAGTGATTATTATAATACATATATATTGTTATTATTATCAACAAGCACAGTTGACGAATTCTTTGAGTCTTATGAAAAACTTGTTCCAAATGAATATATTCCAACAAAACAACTCTTAATAAATATAATAAATAAATTAAAATCCTATGAGCCACATGTTTTAAAAAAACATATACCAAGATTATGGTCAGACATAAATACCTACTGTCGTATAGATCTTTCAATAAAACTTATTTTAATACATTTAATGAAAATGAATATTTTATCAGTTGATTCATCTTTAAGAACAATTTTTATAAATGCAGCATGGGATTGTTGGAATGAAATAAAGGTTAAGAGCATTTATTTATTCATATTGAATTTAATGTTTAAAAAAAAAATACAATAACAATAATAAAAAATTTGATATTTGCAGAAAGAAATCATGACAAAAGGAAAAACAAATAATATAATTGGAACTACCACGATAGCTAATATAGCAATAATATTATTACACGGTGATTTTGTGAAAGAAAGCATCGAAGTTTTGACATATATTAACAAATCAGATTTATTTATTTCAGTAATGAATGAAAATCAAATAAATGAATTATTTGATAAATATATTTCAAAACAATGTATTAAAGGATGTCTTGTACGTATAATATTTATATTATATTAATTCTTTTTTTCAAATTTAAAATCAAAAACATTTACACAATTTAAGACATTTTTTTTTATAGCTTGTTCTTGATTACTCTGTAAACTCAGGATTTTCGAATATCAATCAAATGGTTATGAAATTGCATAGTCTTCCAGAATTTACGAACGTTGATCGTGACAAATTGATTAATTTAGTGGGAGAGGAAGTTTTACATATATTGGATACAGAACAATTAAATTAATCACGATTATGTATAAAAAGAGAAAATATTTATAACATTATTTACTTAACAATATTTTTTTTTGTCTCTACAATTAAATCAAAATATCATCATATAAAACTTATAATTTTTATTATCATTTCTCTATTAAATTTCTGTTGTATATATAAAAATTTCAATCAATTTGTCATTCAAAGAATTGAAATTACATGCATGATTGGTATGTATTAATGTCCTTGCCCCCCTAGGGTACTTACGATTAATAAATTAATGTATGTATGCGATAGTGGGAGGTACTATTCTCTCGTCCCTCAAATGCTTATTTCCTGCATCGGGTAGCTTAACATCGTAACTCATTCGTTCACATATAAAAGCTAAAACGTTGTGATATTTATTGATTCAAGAATCTTATAATTATATGAAATTTTTCTTTTAAACTTTTTTATTGTCTTTAAAATTTTGTCTTTAAAAACAGAATAATGGATGAGAAAGAACATATACATTTTACATTAGAATCTGTGCGTAAATTGATAATGAAAGATGAACCTAATGTGGAAATTATTAGTTTGGAAGAAGAATTCGGTTCAGGAAGAGGTGACAACTATACATCTATGTTATATCGTATTCGAGCAAAAGGTCGAAAACAGATAAAAAATAATGAATGGATCAATTATGAATGTGCAATAATTTACAAAGTTTTACCGCAATCAAGAGAACATCGTGAAGCTTTTAAAAGTGAATTACTATTTCAAAACGAAGTAGCATTTTATACGCATGTATGGCCTACATTAAATAAGTTACAAACAAATGATAGAAAAGTTTTTAACGGCGTTGCAAAAATATATGCAGCACAAATTGATTTTATCGCTATGGAAGATTTACGAGAAAGAGGTTTTAAAATGGCAGATAGAAGAAAAGGACTGCAACTTGAGCATTTGAAACGAACATTGAAAGCTTTAGCAGGTTTTCATGCACTGAGTTTAACTCTTAGAGAAACAAGGTAAATCTAATAATAATTTCTTTTTCTTTCTTTTCTATTTTTTATTATTTTACTTTTTTATTTTTTCTATTTTTTTTATTTTTATATTGTATTATTATATCTATGTATATGTTTATATATTAATATATATCTATGGATACATAAGGCCAGAGGAATTTGCAAGACTGACAGATCCAAGTGAAGGTAAAGGTATCCAAGAAGCACTTTTTCGAACAGAAAATGAAAATTGGTATCGTCAATACTATCAAGTTGCTGCTAAGAATGCTATCAGAATGGTGTCTGATGGTCTTCCTTCTCATATGGAATCCAAAAGAATCGAAATAATGGAAAAATTACGAGCATTTCTTAATGATGATGTATTTTTTCGCACTATGAGCGAATTAGTTGCTATGCAAGGGCCCCTTACCGTTTTTTGTCATGGTGATTGTTGGACTAATAATATTTTATTTAAAGACGATTTGACTAAATCAAACGAAGAAGTAAGTATTA